ACACCATGCTCCAACAGCATCAACACTACCATGACACGACCGGTATGGCAGGCATAGTGCAGTGGTGTCCGGCCATACTATGGGATGATGCCTCAGCATTAGATACAGCGTTATCATATGTTGTAGGTGTACCATCATAAGACGGAAGAGCAAGTGGGAGGTACTGACGTCGTCCATGGCTTTTGCATCAGCGCCATGCTCCACCAGCATCTCCAACACCTTGACATAGACTTGATCGCAGGCATAGTGTACTGCAGTCCGGCCATACTGTGGGAGATGATGCATCGGCATTGTTGACAGGTGCAACAACATGTTACAGGTGTACCATTCCCAGAAGGTACGGAAAAAGGGAGGCACTCACATCGTCCCTGGCTTTGGCATCAACACCGTGCTTCAACAGCATCTCCACCACCTTGACATGGCCCTTCTCGCAGGCATAGTGCAGTGGAGCTCGGCCATACTGTGGGATGATGCATCAGCATCACGCACAGGTACAAACACATCATGCTACAGGTGTGTATAGAATCAGGGGGGGGGGAGCAAAGCGGGAAGAGGAGGGCTCTAACGTCGTCCTTGGCTTTTGTATTCACACCGTGCTTCAACAACATCTCCGCCACTTTGACATGACCCTAACACAGGCACTGTGTAGCGGTGTCCATCCTTTCTGCGGATGATGCATTGACATGAAGTACAGGAACAGACAACTAGCATCACGTGTTGCAGGTGTACCATCATATCGGCGTAAAGGGGAGAGAAGAGGAGGTACTGACGTTGGTCTGGGCTTCGGCATCAACGCCGTGCTTCAACAGCACCTCCACTACCTTTACATGGCTCCGAAGGCAGGCACAGTGCAGTGCTGTCCAGCCATCCTGTGCCAACGAAAAACAAGCAGACAAACCCAAAAGCACAAAACCGCTCAGATGAACAGCTTCAAAGCCATAATCACAGAACAAAGCCCATGCAAAGCAACATACGTACCAGAATATCACGGTTCAAAGTGGCGGCGGCATCTCGAATACGTCGTGGATCCCAACTGCTCAACAGCTGCAGCGCCCTTTGTGGATCTGATGACAAGCACGCCCTCAACAGCTGCTCTCCATCATCACTCATGATAACGATGTCTCTCTATCAGCAACAACCTTCCCACCACAAAAGTCCCGAGGGGGCTCCTCTAAATGTCTTGATCCGAAACCACAGCATGGGCAGGGCAGCGGGCTGAATGGCGAGCGTTGCGCACTGTGGGTAACAAGGATATGTTCATGACTGACCGTAGCTTGTGCTTCGTGTGGAGAAACAAACGGAGAGCTGCTTTCTTCAAACGCATTGTCGATGGTCGGTGCAGAAAGTGAGTGAGATCTCACGTCGTGTCGCAGCGCCGCCGTGTGGCTCACCTCGCACAGTGTAGCGTTACAAGTGTTCAGGTAGCACAACTCGAGTCATTCAAGCTATTAAACATGCTTTTTTTTTTTTTCCTTGGCACCTTCACTGACTGTTAGCGTCAAATCCGTGTTCCACGCCGGACGCCGCGGAGCCTGACACTGACTGAACAGCAATGGTCGAGTAAACCGGCACCAAAAGGAGTTGTTGTTAGAGAAGCAAGCCTGCCCCCAAAGAAGGGAAAGAGAAATGCCCGAGTGCGCTTATAGAAAAGGCCTTGAGCACCCAAGAGGCACTCACATCCAAACGTCTACTTGTTAGCGTCAAATTCGTGCTTCCACGCATTTGAGCACAGACGTGCTGAAGCCTGACACTACTACTGCAGCAGCTTGCACTCACAAATGCTTTCTATACGACGCTTTGAACGTAATAAAACAGAAATGCCAGAGTGTGCGCTTCTAGAAAAAGCCTGTAGCACCCAAGAGGCTCTCACATCCAAACGTCTACTACTACTGCAGCAGCTTGCACTAACATGTAAATGCTTTTTACGACGCTTTGAACGTAATAAAACAGAAATGCCAGAGTGTGCGCTTATAGAAAAAGCCTGTAGCACCCAAGAGGCTCTCACATCCAAACGTCTACTACTACTGCAGCAGCTTGCACTAACATGTAAATGCTTTTTACGACGCTTGAAC